TTCCCACATCGTGACGTAGACATGTGGGGGCGTGTTAGAATGAGCCGTTTTAGGTAGGCGTGGTTGACTCTTAACTTTTATAAAGAATATATCTTTGGATTTGAGACTTTAGTCTTTGCAACTTTACAGATCTTCTTTATGCACCAAGAGCTTGTAACACTCCAAAGAGAAAGGAACAATTGAAATCGCATCATATGACCCCTTTCAAAAAAAAAAACGTAAATGCATTTTTCTTTCTTTACTGTTTGATGTCTTTTGATCATGTTGTCCTTGTTTTGTCCGACAGGAAATTGTGAACTTTAACTGTCGTAAGCTGGTGGCCACCATGCCGCTGTTTGCAAATGCAGACCCTAACTTTGTGACGGGAATGCTGAGTAAGCTAAAGTTTGAGGTCTTCCAGCCTAACGATTACATCATTCGCGAGGGGACCGTGGGTAAAAAGATGTACTTCATTCAGCATGGAGTGGCCAGCGTCATCACCAAATTCAGCAAAGAGTTGAAACTCACCGACGGATCCTACTTTGGAGGTCAGTTCAAAACTCAGATTGTTTTCTCTGTTTCTGTCAGATTCATTCATGGTTTAAAGCACAATTACAGCACAATCAAATAAAAATACAAACATTAACCCTAACCAGTGCCATGCAATTCCTGCAAGTACATCATTTCGTACTGATGGACCAAAATCAAACTGACATGTACAGTACAAACCACAAGCTTTTAACTCTGAGAACAGCCACACAGTGTTTTATAATTCAGAGATTATGTCACGAATGACCTTGATGTCACATGTTCTTCAGTGTTACCTAAGATGCACGATTGTGAGGAACAAAAATTGAAATGAAATCATTTTTTCTCACGATTCATGAAGGTTGTGCCTGCTCTAGCATGGGTGCACTGCGATGCCAGCCACCTGCGCCAGTGGAAAACCATCTGCTACTGGTATTTTGGCCCGTAGCGGGAATGCTGCTGGCATGTGTGCGTTTGTACATGGGGGCGAACGTGTGTCAAAGCTGCTGGCAGTGTCAGGAAATCTCTCCCTCTTCACTGCCTTCTGATAGAAACTCAACACACATTGACCTTGGTCCTAAATTGAATGGAGATCACACAAAAACATGCAGGACAACCCGATTTACTCACTTGTTAATGGTTAGCATTAAGTCAAACTGCGTTCAGTGTAGTTGTTTGACCGCCATGCAATTTTCAGTGACCAATACCAAAGCTGACACTGGAAATTCAGAAAAAAAAAGTGTCTAGTATTTAGTTATTGACTGATTAAAAATAGCTGAATAGCAATATATAGCTATCAGCAATGAATTAATAAAAAATGATTTCAAATTCTAGCTAAATGCTAAATACTATTTATTTTAGTTAGTTAGTTAGTTAATTGGTTATAATAAAACAATTCATTATGAATAATAATTTTAATAATAAAAAAACAAATTAAATAAAATATGTATTACTATTATTATTATTATTATTATTATTATTAAATTAAATACAAAAGCAAGCAATTGGGTCTATAAATCCAAAACATTTGTACTGATTCTTGTACTTTAATACCATGAGCTGTTACATTTTAATAATAATAATAATAACAACAAAGAAAATAAATAATAAATAAAAATAATTAAAATTAATTTTAATAAATATAAATTAAGAAAATTAGGACTATTGTAAAGTAAGTTATGACAATGATGACTATTATTATGTTTTTATTATGATTATTTTCACCATTATTATTATTAAAATTAATAATAATTAAAAAGGCTTATTTTTTATACAATTAATGCATTTATTGTTGTTGTTGTTATAGTTTAATACTAATCAATAAAGACAAAAAAAAACATTATTATTATTATAATTGACTTTTGGAATGATCTGAAATCTTTGCACTGATTCTTGCATCTTTAAAACACATGCTGTGGTTTAATTGTAATTTTAATAATAATTGTTATTGTTATTATTATTATTTGTATTATTTATTTATTTATTTATTTTTAAACATGCTGTGATTCAAAGCATCCGTGTAAGTAAACTAAAGTTCTGGCAGTGTGCCGTGAGGTGAGGGCCAGTTAAGGTGAAGCGCTGATCACGATAAATCAGGCAAACCCCGTCGATTAGCTCACAGCTGGGATACGTGCCAAACCGACGGACCTCCAAGGCTATGAGGTCAAGTGTCATTTCCATTTGCAGAGGCCCGAGAGGAGGGCTGGTTGATTGGACGCTCTTTTGTCAGGGTGAGAGAGACACCTTCACACATTTGCTAGCTTAGGTGCTAACTCGTTCAGGCACTCATCCACCGCTGGCAGCTGGCCACAGACATGCAAAGTAAGACAATTACTACCGGAATCTGAAATTTCATGACGTTTCATCATATCGTTGCTTTCAGACTCTCTCCTTCTCTCTTGACTTTTCTGTCGCTGTTATTGGGCTGTGAAAATGTGCATTATGGTGACATTTGAGCCTAATGAAACAATTAGAAATAGAACAGCAAGCGCAAAGTACTTTTGTCGTCCTCACCTTTATACTGCACCGCATGATGCAAGAGAGATGGCACTTTTCCATTAAAAAAAACTCCAACACCTTGTTCCCACTCCCAGCTGGAGAGTGTTGTTAGCATGTCCCACGGGCTGACTTTTTCCACAGCATTTTTCTTGTCCAGGACAAAATGTCAAGGGTATCATCTCTAGACTCTGTAAATAATGCGACAAATCTGTCATTTTGAAGCACAGGATGAACAGTCCTACATTTACAGCAAATATATTCACAAAATCAGTAGTCATATGTTATTTACTCCAGCTTACAGACATTATATATAGGGGTATGTACCCATGCACATCTCAAGGTGAAAGACAGGACCATTTGCACTTCTCTAAGCACTTCTCTAAGCACTAAGGACTTAAACCAAATTGTGGACAAGATTAAACTGTCACTGACGACTCAGGTTCATTGACAACAAGGTTCATTACAAATCTCTCTGTGAGACACTTTGAGTATGAACTTTGTTCAAACACTTACTTCTCAACCATTGATGGGGCACAGTTTCAGGTATTACATTAATAATAATAATAATACAAATGATAATAATAACAATAATAATAATATTTCTTTGTTTAATAATATAAGTAATATTGTCTTTTTATAATACTAATAATC